ATAACGTACCCAAAATCTTATCACATACATTCTTTTTAATATGCATAACATCTAAGTTATGCCGTAAAAGATTTTTTTCCCAATATGGCAACTTAAAAAATATGCTAAACTTCTTCCAATTAGAAGGCAAATTAGGATTAGCAGGTGTTTTCTTCCAAACTACACATTTATAATTCTTAACATATCAACAATTTTGGATCCATTAATTGGTGTTGATATTGTCTCATGTTCTTCACAACCATTAAAAGATCGACTATCTTTTCTATCAGGATGATCGTGATCTAAGAACCTCCTGTAAAGGCTGTTTCTCCCAGGATCGTCCGGGACGATCAGGGATTCATCCAGGATGATCTGTACAGAATTGTGAAGAATCTGCCTGTTCGTCTGTATGAACCTAGAAGAGTCGGGACGAACAAAACCCGAGGGTTTCATCCCGGGACGACGAAATTGGCATTTAATTTCGTCTGGACGATCTGTGTATATGGGAGATCGTCCCGGGACGAACAGGACATCGTCCGGGCAATCCTGTGTATTAAATATCTGAATAGTGTCGTTTTGAAGAGAGAGAAAGTCCAGGAGAGAGAAAACCGAAGGAAAAGAGGAAAAAGTGGATTTTTGAGCGACTTTGGTCTGTTTTCGTCCGTCACTGTAGTTGAAGAAGTTGACCGGCATGAGGTAAGGCACATTCCGCCTTTCTCAATTTTCAGAAATGAGATTTTTGAAGCGTTTTCTATTCCGAATTTTATTTCCGTTAGCAAATTTCTGGTATTATTTTCTTCTAACAAAGGTTTTACCGCGTAACTTTTGGTATGTCTCTGAGATGATAATTGTGCACGTTTTGCGTATTTTCTGGAAGATTTTTTACTCGATATTTTGGATTCTGCGCTGTTTTAATTAAACTGCAAATTATCATGATGTTGAAAAATGTTTTGTCAGTACAATGAAAGTTTTACAATGTTGTTGTGAATATTCTGTGATAATTTGGTAAATTTCTAAATCTATGAAATTTATGTAAATTCTGTTTATTGCCGTTATGCCGCTGGTTTTTCGTACAAATTCTATTTTTGTCCTGAATTGTACATTGAATGAATTGATTAATTATATGCTATCAGAAGGGAGTAATAAGGGGCTGAAATCCTATGTGATTCCGTTATCTGAGTCCGAGAAGGGAGACATAAGGGGAAGTTCTGAAATTTTAAATTCTTTATATCTATTATGTTCTCGTGCACAAAAGGGAGCTATAAGGGGAAGTTCTGTTGCTATAAGCACAAAAGGGAGCCATAAGGGGAAGAGGGGAAGTTCTGACATCTAGAAGGAAGTTCTGTTCTGAAATTATCTGTTCTATAAAGCTGTAATGTGATTATTTCTGCTATGACTTCTATACGTTGTTGGTTATTCTGTACGATCCTATCTGATTTGTGATTTGAAGCTTGATGATCTCTGATTTGAACTTAGATTTTGATATGACTTCAGTTTTCGTATCCGATGTTTGATTTTTGATTGAGCTGTTATCTGTTCTGTCTGTTATACGGTTTCTGTATGATTGTTCGAATTCTGTACTGATACTTTTCTGATATGTTTTTTGATGTGAGTTTCTGATTATTTTGATTGGTGATTGATGTCTTGCTGAGCTGTTAGCTCATCCTTATTTTCTACGTGGTTTTCAGGTTCTGGCAAAGGGAAGGAGGTTTTGGACTAGACGTTCTGAATCTGATCTGTGGTTAGGTACTTAATATTTTTGATTTTTGTACAGTCATGACTTTTCTGTTTTGTTCTGTTCTTTCTGTCCGTAAGCCATGTACTGTATCTGTATATGATTATTTTGAGGAAAGAAAAGATAGATGAACCGCTGCATTTGGATGATTATAGTATCTCTGTGTCTTTCTATCTATGTAATATTTGGAAAAAAGTTCTGAAGCAAATTCCAAAGTCAGATCCTGGATTTATTGGCTCCGTCGCAATTCGATGGGAGCTGGATTCGTCCCGGTCAGGTTGGGTCGTGACAGGCCTTTTTAGTGGTATCAGAGCAATGGTTTTGAAATTTGGATTGTAAGACAGAGCTGTAGGAAGTGATCTATGAGTCTGTCTGGGGTAGTTCTGATTTGTCTGGACTTTTATTGCGTTGTTTTTATGCATAGTTTTCTCTGTGCTTATGGATCAGCCAGATCCAGATATGACAGATGGGTAGAGTGCTAGTCAGACAGCTCCAGTGGGCAATACTATTCCAGTGGTTGGTTCTGATACACTTTCACAGTTTGCTACATTGGTTGCTCAGATGATGAGCGAGACTCAGAGTAAAGTCTCTACTGTTCGATCTGAGGATGTGGATAAACATCTGCAGATGTTTCTGAGATTGAAACCTCCAAGGTTTGAGGGCACTATTGAGCCCAGAGAAGCTGAAGAATGGTTGAGAAGGTTAGAGAAGACTTTTGACGGTATGCAGTGTCCGCCGGACAGGAAGGTATCGTTGGCAGTTTTTCTGTTGGATGGCGAGGCTGAGCGCTGGTGGATGGGCCAGCAGGAGGAAAAGTTTCAAGGGAAGCTAAATTATTTGATTACTTGGGAAGAATTTTCTGAGGTATTCCGATCGTGGTTTGTACCCCCTTCTGCACGTTAGCAGATGCAGGAGACTTTTCTGAGGCTAATTCAGGGAGCAGGATTATGATGCAGTACGAGGCAGAGTTTACTGTTTTAGCTCGATATGCTCCGCAATTGGTAAGTACTTCTGCTGAGAAGTGATACAGATTTCTGAGGGGACTACGAGATAGTCTGAGGCAGCCCCTAGTACCATTTCATATTTTTGATTTCTTTGAGCTTGTGGAGAGAGCTCGTCTGATAGAGAATGATTTGATGGATACTCAGCAGCGGTGGACTACGAGTATGAAGAGGTTCGGGGGTGATCAGGCTTCTAGCAGTGGTTCCTCTAGCAAGAGGAGATTTGTATCTAGAGACTCCAGGA